CTATATTTGTTTGTATATTACTTAACAAATGCATTTCTTCTGGAAAATCATTAAGGTTCAAGCAACATTTTATATAAGAGAGTAGAGGGTTTATGACTCTTAAGACGTTGACCAAGTGCAAACAAATAAACAATCCTTAAATCATTCGTAGGCTTGTCAATATAATTCAAGTACACAAATCGACGGCTTTAGCCACTGATACATCCGCTGAATACTTAAAACAGTTAATACGTTTCCTTTATAATAAACGTTTTTATGTGAGTATTTCTTGTTCAACTTAATGCAATGTTCTCATGTAGAAAAACAAATTACAGTAAGGTAACTGTCATTATCACATTTGATTTAGCTATGTTGTTCACATTGTGTTATACGGTGTTGATTTTCTGTGACATGGCGCACGTTAAATCTTTTGAGTGGACACCTAAAGGCTGGGATGGATTAGCGATAGATTGTCCTGAAAAGTGTATCGACTCTTCCGCCTTTATGCTTCCGGATACTTATTGCTGTGCCTGTTATGGAAGGAGTGTTCTAAATGATTTACTCGATACCTCATACTTAAACATTGATAATTTAAATGAACTCCTCGGAAAAACTTATTATCTTGAACATCGTGAGAAAGCATTGCAGTCATTTCCGGAAAACATTTGTGACTTACCAGCTCTTATAAAAATTGATTTGTCACGGAATCTGATTCTGGATGTGCCTAATTTATCCTGCATAAGAAATCTTACTCATCTGATTTTATCCAGGAACAAAATATCTGTTCTACGGAAGGGTTCTCTTAGCAATAATAGAAACCTGAGGGTTGTAGATTTATCGTTTAACCTCATCACTTATATAGAGACAGGCATTCTGAGGGACATGGTATTTCATGAATTATATCTAAATAACAACGATCTGATATCTATTGATATCACTGATCTTGTATTTGAAAGAGTCTTTTGCACTTTAGATCTATCTAAGAACAGTATACGAACAATAACTAACGAACATGGATGGGCAGTAAATCTTGCCACGACTTATGGACCTGGTTATATCGATTTTTCATTCAATAAACTGAGCACTTTACCAGATTTTGGAAAACTTGGCTTTTCGGATATGTTTCAACTCGGTAAACTTCTTCATTTTGGTTTTGATTTGCGATATAACCCTATTCAATGTGACTGTGTCCTTGCTAAACCAATATTACATTTAAAACCACTTTTTGAAATATTCGATAGGGATTTTTTCAATGTTGAATGTGAAAATCCAGCATTTGTTCGTGGGTTAACTGTTCCCGATATCATCTCTAATAATAACCGAATAATAAATATGACGTGCAATTATACGTCATATCCTACTTGCCCTTTTGGTTGCTCGTGCATAAAGAGGCCAGGTTTCAAATATCTTTCAACTTCAACAATTGTGTTCAAGTTAATAATGGATTGTACAAACGCTGATTTAGTGCGACTACCTAATATTTTTATAGAGAGTGACGAAATTGAAATCTACATGCAGGGAAATCATATCACTCGCATACCATTTAAACATTATTTAAATCGCGTAACTGTTCTTGAGCTGTCAGCCATTCCCGTCTTCGATAATGGAGCGCTGGAGAATCTCACTCAACTGCACAGTTTTTTAATTCCTCCCAATCAGCAACTTGAAGGAATTTCTCAGGATTTTTCGATTTTTAAACCTTGTGTATTTTTACAAAGGGGAAACTTTGTCATGAACTGCACATGCACGCATCAATGGATCTATAATTGGCTTATTATCAAAGGGACTGAATGTAACACTCAGTTTGAATTTCGTTGCCTTGCTGGGAATAAACAAGAGAGTTTGCTGAAAATTATTCCAAAGCTGATGTGCTTTCAGAAGGATAATACACTTCTTTACGTAATTTTCTCTTGTGGTACAGGTGTATTGTTTATTCTTGTTGCCATTGGTGTTTTATTGTTCAGGTTTAAGTTTGAAATTACGGTCATATTAAAAAGAAAGAAGGCAAGTAGAATTTCAACGAAAACAACTAAAGAAGATATTTATATTTCCTTCGACGAAAGAAATGAAGATATTAATACATGGGTGTTAAAGACCCTTCAACCGTTTTTGGTAGAGAAGAATTTAAGACCATTTATTCCATCACGTGATTTGCCTTTGGGTAGTGTTCGATCGGATGAATCGGCGTGGCAGATCGCGATTACTCATTATTTTATCGTGTTTTTGTCAGCTTATTATTTTGAAGATGAGTGGTTCGAAACAAGAAATGAATGGAAATACATATGGAACAGTTACTTATCTGGTGAGAGAAAGGATTTATTGCTTATAAACTACGACCTTATGAAAGTTAACGACATTTGTTGCAGGAAATGCAGGGCAGTTATGCGTTTTGGGAATATCATTGACTTTGATAGAGGAGAAGAAAAAATATTTTCTAAGATTTTAGAGATTTTTACATAACTTTACATTCACGACAATTTTGTTTGACTATATATTGTGTCATTTTTTTCTAAGGATCCAAAGCATTTTACAACAGTATGATAATAATAGTACAGATATGTATTTTAAGGTATAGTTTATTTCATGGAAATAGTCGAAAACCTTCCCTTGGATACAATGAATGGGATGATACAAGCACATGATTTTAAGAGGTCATGCCAAAAAGCATTGAGCTTTCTATGGAAAGACAAAAATATGAATTTGTCTGGAATTTGTGTCTATGGATTATTTCTGTCACAGATAACTTGAAAAATATAAAATAAGTGACTACAACCATAGTCACCAACTTTTTACATTCAAAACGGTAAATACTTACATAATGTAAAGTGTATGTTCACACAAATGTTCGCAAAAGATTATTTTTTTAAATGCTTATTATTATTTAAGGAATGACTCTTATTCTTGGCCAAATTATTCAATATAACCTGGTTTGGGTCAGTTTACTCTTTATAATCCGCGAAGCGTAAACCGACCCAATCCAAGTTATACTCAAATATTTCCATTTCCAATTGTTTTTCAATGATAAACACTACGAAAGTGAATCTTGTTAATTTCTCCGTGATTCCTGTGGAATGTAAATTTCTCTATTGAAATACTATCACAATCTCTATCCAGAGTTGTCGTTCCCGCTTCTCTCCTACATACACCTCTGTCAACGATTGTTACAAAAGATTCTTGGAAAAATTGTTTTTGATTAAAATTTGTATTTATAATTGTGTGTAATCATATTTCTTATCGAAAAACATTATTTATTTTAATTTGTTACACCTTAAAATAATTTTTTAATTAAGATTTTAATTTTTACTCCGCAAAATAGTTCCCTAAAATCTTTGAAAATAAGTCGTTTCGAGTGATTATAGATTTGAATTAGATAATGAATTCTCATCTTTATCAATATTTACAATAATTAATTTTCATTTAAATTTCGAATCTTTGCTGTTTTAAATTTGTACAAGAATCTTGTACAACGAGCGTTGACAGAGGTGTTGTGAGCGCAGCGGAAGATAACTCTGGATAGAGAATAATACTATCACTGGCGTATAAATACACTAAAGAAAAATAGATGTTTTGTTTAATTGTTTACTAAGTAATTAGCTACGATATATCTTTTAGCAAACAAAATAAATAATGAATTATTTCCGGCTCAAAAGCAAGTCACTAGAGCAACGCTGTCCACTATCACCGAGGACTTGCGAGACAGAGAACTCCACTTCCGTAAACACGGTAAACAGCCCATCTGAACCACATGGGGAAATCGGCACATAGATCTGTACTCTATCATCTGATACAGACATCATCCTTCAGCCATTACCATCCGACTTCTTAAGCAAATCAACTTCCTCTGCTATTTTAACATCCACACAAATCTGTTTCCTGTTTCTTGACCATGCTTACCAACTCCTGTTCATCAACTGTAACATTGCATTCAATACTAGTATGGCGGCGGAGAAGTGACATAGGGCCTATACACGTGTTCGTGCTTCCGACAACTTATAACTAGGCCATATATATAATTAAAGTTAACAAGATTGCTTTGATCATAATCTAAAATTCTTTTGTTGTTTATTTTGTGAATGTTGATATTTGACAACTGAAACTAAATAATCAATAAATTTGTTTCGTTTTTTTATGGGACTATTTTTTTTTATAGTAAAAGAATGGGTGGACTTAACGCCCTATCTTGGATTTTTTTGAGACTACTCTAACAAGTTGAAAATAAAGGGAATAATTTTACCGATGTATACAATACTATAAACAACAAAACTGCGTTATACTTGTGTTCCCTCAATAATAAAGTCCTATAGGATATTAGCTGCAACCATTCTTGGGAGAAACATCTATATATATCCGGAGCTTGGTTGGGGGTTCATCAAGAATCATTTACTTAAAGAAAGTAATCAAGTGTTTCCATTTAATATCTAAAACATCATTTTTCAAATTCTAATTTAATATCGATTAAAATACTAGTAATATATATAAATAAATGTACATGTAATTTGGATAAAAACATACTGTATATATATATATATGCATTTATAAAAATGGATCAAATCATGCGCTATTTTTGGGTTTACAAAGGCGTGCTCTTCAAATGATGGGGAATTATTCCATCATGTGTACATCTATTTCGCCACCTCCAGTTTTGTGAAAGGACATATTTATATACCTTGGACTTATATTAATTAGTTTGCCTGTTATTGAAATTCAATGCAAAGTAAAGCAGTTTTAACTTGGAGAGAACACAGTTATACATATACTAGTAGTCTATTGGATTTTCTCTCTCCTAACACACACAATCTCTCCATAAGAAATCTTTGATATGCAGCCGCAATATTTAGTTCCCTCCTAAGTCATCGATTTACCTGTCCTAAAGTTACGACATAACTTAGGAATATCCTAAGATAAGACGAGGTTAGTGAAACGGATAAGTAATGAACTTAGGAAAAAGTTCTTTCCTAACATAGAACTTAGTCCTAAGTAGGCTTTGTGAAGCGGGCCCCTGGAGTCTTGTCTTGTATCTGATTAAATTGACTTTATTGACATTTTTCGTAAAGGTACAGCTTCTTTGGAAGGATCCTAGAAATACGGGTTTGAAGGAGAAGACAGCATATCGACTGGAGCTAATTCGTAGACCGAACATCGGTCTCATCAGGTAGTACCACAATATTTATAATCATCAATGACTCCAACCTTTTTCGCTTCTTCATTGCTTACAATTATGGAGTTATTTAAAACCTCAAATTTTTCAAAATTTTGTTGTTTGAAGAGACAAGCCTAATGGCTGATTCAGGAAACGTGTATGACGCCATTCTCGGTACAGTCCACTAATTGTTTTCCCATAGGCGACAATGTTAACGTTTCTTCTCATAGCGATGTCCCTAATTTTCGTTCAGAAGTGAGTGACCCCTCAAATCAAAGCACATCAACTTGTCTTTCCTTGGTTAAAATCTCGAGGTGGCATGTCAGACTCGTTTTCCGGCAAAATGCGTCTGTCTGCGGGAACCTCTAAAAATGAAAGTGAAAGTAGGGGAATTTCAGAATTATCACTGGCGTTATAATACACAAAATAATTCAGCTGATCTTCTTGATAAATTACATTTTCCAAGCTTTTTTGGTAGGAAAGATACTCCTTATCAACAAGTGTGAGGTTCAGTTCAGTACATCTGCCCAGTTTTTTTTATGCAAGTCTGCAAATTTAAAGGAACTTGTAATTTTTTCTGCACTACTTTCTTCTCCTACCGATTCTAAAAATAATTAGTGGGATGTACCCAATATGAAAAAACATTTTTTTTTATTTAGCAATATTTCACACTGTTTGTCAATCTAGAGCATAAGTAGAGACATCATGCCAAGTTTCATGAAAATTCAACAATTGATTAAGATCTTACAGCATTTACAGTTCTATGTGTAATATCCTTAAAAAATGCTCCAATCTAGCGAAAACTGCACCCAAGTTTTAAGTCAAATTTTAGCCTATTAACACATTTATACCATTCTTAATCAACTTCATAACTTTAAACACATATAGTCAAATCATAATCAAGCACTAAATTGGGTCAATTTCACTTATTTTAAAAAATTAATGTATTTCCGCACAAAATATGACCACTTTTCACCCTCTTATTCATATGTAGGAAATTAGGCTGGACTGAGGACATCGGCCTGGATAGCTCAGTGGTTAGAGCACCTGACTAGAAATACAGGGGTCCCAGGTTCGATTCCCGGTCCAGCCATATGTTTTCAATATGTATGTATTTATGAATTTTCAATGTATGTTTACTCATTCCTCCTTTCAATACTACAGATGGTGCCGTGGCCTACCTTGTTCAGGCAATGTATAATTACTAATGTTAAGTCCTGACAAGGTGAACTTGAGTTGTGTCTTAGGGGTCGAAGACTATTTAAGGAAGGGGGAATGTAGGAAATTAGGCTGGACTGAGGACATCGGCCTGGATAGCTCAGTGGTTAGAGCACCTGACTAGAAATACAGGGGTCCCGGGTTCGATTCCCGGTCCAGCCATATGTTTTCAATATGTATGTATTTATGAATTTTCAATGTATGTTTACTCATTCCTCCTTTCAATACTACACATAGATTCTCCAGAAATGGCAAAAAAATGAAGTTAACAAATACCCCGAAAGTAGTAAAATAAAAAAGAACTGATTATTTCCTGTCCATTGATGTATCATTCATGAAATTTGGTCTATGAATAAAAAAGTTATAAGCCTTTATAATCTTTTATAGAATCATTTGTTTCAAAGCAATTTTTATACCAATGCAAATTTACTCATCTATGACGTCACAATGTCATCATAATAATGGATAGCTCAATACATGTGTATCATTACTTTTCCCGTACTTTTCATATAAGACAAAATCAGTGCTTATATACTATTATTAACTTTAAAAAATAAAACTATGTGGTTTTGCAGATTAAATAAATAATCCACTAAAGTTGTTTTGTTTCCATGGTAACCATTTTGTAATTTGTAGGAAATGAGTCAAAATTTTGAATTTCCTGACAAATCGCATAATGTCGACTGTCAAATATTCATGAAACTTCAATTCTTATATCCGTGTAATCTTAATAATGCATAATTTACAAAACAAAGATGTAGATCTAATTAATTTGAAATTCTTAAATAAGAAAAAATCTATATAAGTGCAAAATGTATAAAGCAGTGCATGTACAGATTAGTTATAGCTAAATACTTTCACATTCTGATCACCTATTAAATATGTAAATTTCCTCACCCCCACCCCATCCCCCACTTCAATGATTTTTTTTTTTTTTTAGAAAACTTTAACTTACACACATTTTGCCGACTGTCACATTTTGCTGGTGCTGTTTCAAGATGTATTCAAATGGGTGTGCATTTGCTGGCCAATAGTTTTAAACACCATCTGCATGGACCTCATGTTTTTCCTGTACCAATCACCATGAACCTAAAAAAATCAATACAATAAATGGCACAATATCACATTTGCAGACAGACAGACAAACAGACATTCAACACGTACAATTTTACCATATTCCTTTTATGCCCATTACTTGAAATTAATTACTTTAAAAAATGATTAATTGCTCCCACCTGAAATCACACTGTTAACATTAGTAATTAAGTTAATTCGGGTCAACTGGAGTATACGGAATAAATAGTTCCTTGAGGATGCCTCTCCATCAGAAATGGGTGATTTAAGGAATCACTGTCTAGTTAGGAGAGTATGCCAGGGCATCAACAATAGTGGGAAACATGGGATAATTTGCATAACGGGCTTCGCCCGTTATGCAAATTATCCCATGTTTCCCACTATTGTTGATGCCCTGGCATACTCTCAAAACTAGACAGTGATTCCTTATATTTCCATTTCATTGTGAAATAAAATTGTAAATTTAGACTTTAAAAATGTAGACATAGATTTAAATCACACGAGGACTTTCATGCTAATTTCAATAGTCCTCGCCCACTGACGTCAAACACAAAGGCAGCCGCACGAGATTTACATGCATATTTGGCCTCCTTAGCGTCAGACACAGAGACAGATGCGCACGAGATTTGCATGCGTATTAGGCCTCCTTAGCTCCTGACCTATCGACCTGCCTAATTTACATTCCGGCAGAATTATCAAGAAATAAACTCCGACAACTTTCAAAGAGTTATCACAGAGAAAAAAATTAGAAATGGAAATATTAGGTTATCAATGATAATTATAAATTCTATGACATGTATGAAATTGTCAATGCATTGACACGTTGACATTGACAGAATGGAATTGTCAATGCATTGACACGTTGACATTGACAGAATGGAATTGTCAATGCATTGACACGTTGACATTGACAAAATGGAATTGTCAATGCATTGACACGTTGACATTGACAAAACGGAATTGTCAATGCATTGGCACGTTGACATTGACAAAATGGAATTGTCAATGCATTGACACGTTCACATCGACAAAATACAATTGTCAATGCATCGACACGTTGACGTCGACAAAATGGAATTGTCAATGCATTGACACGTTGACATCGACAAAATGCAATTATTGTCAAAGCATTGACACGTTGACATCGACAAAATGCAAATGCATCGTAGCCACGGAATATATTACAATTCAAAACAATGCACCAAATCAGAATTTTGTGGTCAAAATTTAGAAAAATTTTCTCCTCACACACTGGACAAACAATACGTGTATGGTGTCTTTACTGGTGGTCATGCACAGGTTCGTTTGAGTGCAGGCAATGTCCATGTCATTTACATGGATGTATAGGGATAAATCACGATGCATTGACAGTTTTTTATTATGTCAATGTCAACGTGTCGATGCATTGACAATTATTAAATATGTCAATGTCAACGTGTCGATGCATTGACAATTATTAAATATGTCAATGTCAACGTGTCGATGCATTGACAGTTTTTTAATATGTCAATGTCAACGTGTCGATGCATTGACAATTATTAAATTTGTCAATGTCAACGTGTCGATGCATTGACACTTTTTTCAATTGGACAATGTCAATGTGTCAATGTCGACGCGTCGATGCATTGACACTTTTTTCAATTGGACAATGTCAACGTGTCAATGTCAACCTGTCGATGCATTGACACTTTTTTCAGTTGGTCAATGTCAACGTGTCAATGCAATGTCAGTTCTTTAGTTTTTTTTCATAAATTTGTCAATGTCAACGTGTCTATGCATTGACTGCTTTTTTTATGTGTGGCTATTTATAATATTTATAATGCGCATTGATTTTCTGCAAGGGATTTACAGCCGGAACTATTTATTCCGTATACTCCAGTTGAGCCGGTAATACCTTAGTACAATATTTGTAAATAACAATTTAATGTTTTTGGAACCTGTCGATGATCGGCACGTCACATACATGACATACATCATTTCAGATCAGTTGCGCGGTGAAGCTGGTTACAGTTGTCTAGGAGTTAAACGATGTGTGTGAACATGCACATTAACTAATTTTTCTCATATTTTTTAGCAATTGCATTACATGTATTTGTTGAATGTACAATCATTGTCAGTAAAACATGATTTTTACCTATTCTGCTGAATTAACGGCTCAACTGATCTGAAATGATGTATGTCATGTATATGACGTGCCGATCATCGACAGGTTCCAAAAACATTAAATTGTTATTTACAAATATTGTACTAAGGTATACCTCTTACCTCCTGTGTAAAATACAAATGCCCATCACCTATATACTGCTAAACACTGCACTGAACAGTTTTGATAACTTTCTGCTAAGTCTACTTTCACTTCGACCTTGACCCCGATTGAATACCGATCCCGAACCCATTTGTGAATTTTTGTGTATTGAAAATAAACCACAGTGGAGCATGTACATCTAAATAATTGCTTCTTAGTCAAATTATACATTTATGATTCTGAATAAATAAATTATATAAATCGATACATTTAATCTACATGATACATGTGTAAACAATGGGTGATACATGTATGAGCATGTTGTGTGTGTGTGTGTGTGTGTGTGTGTGTGTGTGTGTGTGTGTGTGTGTGTGTGTGTGTGTGTGTGTGTGTGTGTGTGTGTGTGTGTGTGTGTGTGTGTGTGTGTGTGTGTGTGTGTGTGTGTGGTGTGTGTGTGTGTGTGTGTGTGTGTGTGTGTGTGTGTGTGTGTGTGTGTGTGTGTGTGTGTGTGTGTGTGTGTGTGTGTGTGTGTGTGTGTGTGTGTGTGTGTGTGTGTGTGTGTGTGTGTGTGTGTGTGTGTGTGTGTGTGTGTGTGTGTGTGTGTGTGTGTGTGTGTGTGTGTGTGTGTGTGTGTGTGTGTGTGTGTGTGTGTGTGTGTGTGTGTGTGTGTGTGTGTGTGTGTGTGTGTGTGTGTGTGTGTGTGTGTGTTGACTGTTGTGTGTGTGTGTGTGGGGGGGGGGGGGGGGGGGGGGGGGGGGGGAGGTAGACACTTTATTTATGAATTAATTTGTTTAAAAATGTGTATCAACAATAAAAGAATTGGTTTTTTTTTCATTAATTTGAACAATTGAAAATAATAGAAAACACCAACTTTGAAATAAATTCAAGATTTATGACATCTTTCACTTACTTATAGGCTTCCTAATATGGGTACAGTCCACTAATTGTTTTCCCATAGGCGACAATGTTAACGTTTCTTCTCATAGCGATGTCCCTAATTTTCGTTCAGAAGTGAGTGACCCTCAAATCAAAGCACATCAACTTGTTTTTCCTTGGTTAAAAACTCGAGGTGGCATGTCAGATTCGTTTTCCGGCAAAATGCGTCTGTCTGCGGGAACCTCTAAAAATGAAAGTGAAAGTAGGGGAATTTCAGAATTATCACTGGCGTTATAATACACAAAATAATTCAGCTGATCTTCTTGATAAATTACATTTTCCAAGCTTTTTTGGTAGGAAAGATACTCCTTATCAACAAGTGTGAGGCTCAGTTCAGTACATCTGCCCATTTTTTTTTATGCAAGTCTGCAAATTTAAAGGAACTTGTAATTTTTTCTGCACTACTCTCTTCTCCTACCGATTCTAAAAATAATTAGTGGGATGTACCCATTCTGAGTGGTTGAAAATTGGGCGTATTTAGCTTTTCTCAGGAGGGGGTCATACGGTCCGATCTGGTTTATAGGTGTAATGGTAAATTTCACATAGTATGAAATATGAATGTTATAGGACATAATCTGCATTGCTTGACAGATGTCCATAGTTTTACACTTTTCTTTGGGATTTTAGATTATGTACCACGCGGTTTGCTGAGAGAGGGAGCCGAGTCTTTAGAACCAGCTGAGGGATTTCTGGAAGATTCTGGAATGTACCAGTTTGACAGAAAGAGATTAGGGCGATGAAGATTTTATATCGCCACCTTCTGAAAGTGCCCATTGAGACAGATCACGGTCGCTTTACCGTTTATGTCCGTGTTTGTATATTTTTATCAGTTTCTTTCCATCATGCTGTGATACTGTTTCGTGAATATGCAATAATATGCAATATTTATATGCAATAATACGTCTTAATTCCTTTATCTCTGTATGCTGTTATTATGTGAACGCATTACTGAGAATGAAATCATAGCACGAATAGTGTGCTTATCCTTACAAAGGGAAGAAACTTTATTATTATAGAAACTTTATTGATATATCATGAACTTTCAAAATTCATAAAATAATTTGAATAAAATATCATTAAAAACTATACGCTCTTCAAATAGAGACCAAAACATTGAATGGTAAATTTTTATCTGTATATGAGTAAACTTTTGAACAAGTTTCTCACAACACTGATCTTTGATATCTTGTTTGCAACCTTTGATATTTCAGCATCATCTAAACCAATCTGTTTTAAATTTAATGAATATATTAGATTCTTCGTCTCTGTTTTTGGTTTTTAGCTCTATTGGTCCGTCCGTCTGTCTGACTGTCTGTAAATTTTTTTCTAAATGCTACTCCTCCTACAGTTTCTGCCTGATTACGATATAACTTGGTACACAAGCAGACTACACTAAGATACATAATTTCGTACATCGGTTTTTGATTTTGATGAACGGTGTTGTCAAGGTTACTAAAACTAAAATTTCTGTGAAATTCCTTTAAAACGCTACTCTTCCTACAGTTTTTGTCTGATTTCAATATTACTTGGCACACATGTAGACTTCACTAAGACACATAAGTTTACTTATTGCTGCCTTTGCAAAGGTTCAAATTCAAGTGCTTCTTTTCCTTTGTTAAACGTACAGACGAGTAGAGCTACAGTCTTATGAGAGACTTCTGGTTTCCTCGCTATATTTTTCGGGCTTTCAAAGATCTAATGTAGGCGTAATTTATTTATCTGTTCATGAAAATATAAGGAACTACAAGTTATCTAAGGATTTATTATGAGAAATATTTCGTGTTAGTACGATGGCGTGATGTGAAAATTACGTTTGTGTGATGTCATGGTTTTGTTAGTCCTCTCCCTTGCTTTGTAAACATTCCACTTTCGCAACAGTATCATCAGAAGGGTTATCATGGTTATTGGTGCAGATTAAGGCGTTGGATAAGAGCAACAAATAAACAAGGAGTTTCCTTGAATTATTCGTAGGCTTGTCAACTGAAACCAAGTACATAATGCGACGGAATTAGCTACTGATGCATACACTAAATACTTAAAACAAAGTCCCAGATAATACGTGTCCTTAATAATAAACGTTTTTATGCAAGTATTTCTTGTTGAAATTAATGTATTTAACAAAACACGGTAAGGCAACTGTGTCATTGTCACATTTAATTTAGCTATGTTGTACACATTATGTTATACGGTGTTGATTTTCTGTGATTTGGCGTACGTTAAATCTTTTGAGTGGACACCTAAGGGATGGGACGGATTACCGATAGATTGTCCTGATGTATGTATAGACTCTTCCTACTATGTACTCCAGGATCGTTGTTGTGTCTGTAAGGAAAGGAGTATTCTAAATGACTTACGCTATATTTCATACTTCAACATTGATAATTTAAATGAACTCCTCGGAAAAACTTATTATCTTGAACATCGTGAGAAAGCATTGCTGTCATTTCCGG